TGTTTCCACAGCTTAATGGATTGACAACTGGATATCCTTACTAATTTCACTATTTCTACATTTGATAATGATGTCTACTCCCTCTTGAATTTGTTTAGCACTTTACTAACTCCTGTTTTTCCTTCCTACTTAAGTCTGCTCTCAGGCTCCTCTTTAGCTAATTCTATAATTTTTTTAGTATTCCCTAGTATTTGCTCCTTAGTTTCCTTCTCCCCCTTTATATTCTCTCTAGATGCTCCCATTCATATACCTATTTCAACTTTCATGACCTAAATGACTCCTAGTTCCCTAATTCTAGCCCTAAGATCTAAAACCACATTCCTGCCTGTGTACCTAGTAGACAACTCCACCTTAAAGCCAAAAAAATCATGATACATTGCTCAAGGCAATGTTGTATCCAAAACTATATTCATCTTCCCCTCCCAACTTGCTGCTTTTCCTAAGAACCAACATTTCTACATATAAAAGTGAAACACTTTTGCATCATTGTGGACTCCTGCTTCCTTCTCTTCCCATAAACTAAGGATAGCCTGATCTCTTTCACAAGACAAAAAAAGCTTCATGCTATGGTTTCTACTTGCTCCTCCAGCTTCATCTCCTCCCTCACCTCAGAAATCTTATTTCTCAGTCTTCTTATGTACACAGCATGCACTTTTCCTTTACTCTGCTGAAATCTCTTCCTTACCTTGCTAAACTGCAGATTCCTACAACCTCTCAGATTTACCTCAAGCATCCCCTCTTGGAACCTGAGAATTGGTTCAATACTTTATTGGTGACAGAGACCAAAGTAACTTTGGTTTGGTACTAGGGACAAGTCCTGGCATTACTGCTGATAAGCCTATAAATAAGACTACAAATAATTACAATGCAGTTTGCTATGTACCAGGGTGCCAGGGTGCTGTGGCAGCAGAGGAGGCTTACACAATCACTGTGTTACTTCTATCAGTTTTTCTTGTACTGAGCCTTGTAGATAAGTAGGAATTTGTCTGGTGGACAAGTTAGGTCAGAGGAAGGCATTAGATATCAGAGTACATTCTGGTAACTGCTAGTAAGGTGCACCACACAAGGGGAAATGGGTGGGGTTTGGGGGATAGAGAAGGATGGAGAGGGAGGGCTCACAGGAACACCTCAAAAGGCGAACTGTGTGGAGGACACATTACAGAGGCCAGGTCAGAGGCCAGGAGACAATGAGGAGGCTACTGCACTACACTTAGCAAAACATGATGCCCCAAAGCTGTGGCAGCGAGATGGGGGAGCAGGGCACAGAAGACAACTCTTTATCCTTGATCCAAAGTAAAGCCATTTCATCTTCACAAGAAGCCTAAGAGGTAATGTTCCTATTTTTTACTCGAGGAAACGCAAGCTCCTAAGGATGTTGCTTGCTTGACATGACACAGCTTAGAAGTAGAAGCAGAGATACAAACTTCAAAGATGCTGCTCCTGAGTAGCATGTGTCAATATCCTAAATGTATGTCCAAGTATAAAACAATAAATCATGTTTCACAACTAATTCTGGCCTGTTCAACTTACCAGGATTCCTAAGTAAACTTCCTCTTCCCATGGAGAAGCATAGCAAGTATCAGAGGAAGGAGAAATACCCGAGCAGATTTAGGGTTACATAGCAAGATCTTAATATTATTCTAAGCTGTGTAAAATTTTAGTAGAATATACAAATTCTAAAGTTACCTTATGGGCCTAGTTTAGTGCTACATTCTCCAATTAATAATTTTGCATGGACCACAGAGTTGAAAAGTAATTTTATTTGCCTGCAAAATCTCCACTCTGCCCACTTAATCTTATAGAGGTAGGGCATATTAAAAAAAAAGTATTAATATAAAAATAAAACAATATAGAAAACAAACTTATGGTTACCGGGGGTAAGCGGGGGGAGGGATAAACTGGGAGATTGGGATTGACATATACACACTACTATATATAAAATAGATAATAAGCACCCACTGTATAGCACAGGGAACTCAATACTCTGTAATGGCCTATATGTGAAATGAATCTACAAGAGTGAATATATGTGTAACTGATTCACTTTGCTGGCCACCTAAAACATAACATTGTAAATCAACTATACTCCAATCGAAATTTTAAAAATAAAATTTTAAAAATAAAAGAAAAAATCTAAAAATAAATAATAAAACTTGATGTGAAAATATGCTTAAAATGACATCAATATTCTGCCTTAGGCAATAGGCTTGAGGAATAAAATATTCAATATTTTAAAATCACTTACTTAACAAACATGCTATATGTATATTACAAAACAATGTGTTTGGCAATCTTTCTAAAATACAGAACATCATCTCTAACCAATGAGATGTTAAAGCTAAGTGAACACGATATTCCTCAAAGTTCTCCTTTAGTGTTCAGGGAATAGACTTATTCTAAATTACTTTTCTAAAAAAAAAAAAAAGAACCTAAGGTTAGAAATGACCAATTTCAGAAGAGATATACACCTACACAAAACATAATCTACCAAACTATATAAATATTAATACAAGCAATATGGGTAACCCCTAAATTTCTTTCATTCTTTAAAACTCACAAAGGAGAGGGTGTAAGTTTACTAATCTACTTAACTCCAATGCTTCCTTCTCATTACAGAATTAAAGATTTATCTTAGACATTAAGAGGAAGATAGGAAGATCTGAACAGTTTTAGGTTAAAAAGCACCCTCGCCATGTCAAGTGTATTGATGGCAGCTATAAATAAAATACTGAGCCCAAATGTACAGTAACAGCACACCTGTAAACGCTGCAAGAAATGTAGTATACATCCTCAGGCCTTGAGACAAAGATAGCAGACAGGTTTCAACTCACATGTCTGTCAGCTCCAGCAGATTAAGTAGCTACCTACAACAAAACGAGATTGGGGGATAACCTGACCAAAATGGAGCATCAATGTCTTCCGTGGGCCTAAGAGTAATGGTAGCCTGTGTGCTACTGTTTGCCCTCAGCCTTATGCTGACAAAGACTTTGTACTGAAATATTTTTGTTTCATTATTGTTTCACACCAGATAATGCATCCTGATGTAAAATATAAGTAAAATCAAGAGAAAAGTTTTGTGGGTTATTTGTGGTTTTGTTCTGTGTTTTGCTATGTCTGACAAAACAAACAATAAACCTAATGTCTGTTTTCTAGAAAATACTATGTAATGGATGGCTACCATTACAATAACTAAGGTTATATTTTTTAAATGCTCTTCCTATTCATCTGGAAAATTCAGTGTTACATATAAATATGTATATATGTGTGTGTGTGTATACACACACAGTTTTAGGAGAAAACATCAGCATTTCAGCTTGGTAACTTAAATAATGTTAACTATGCATGTTTATTTGTAAAACTTCCCATAGTGAAACATGTTACAGTTACCTATAAACATTCATTTCTCACTACTTACAATTTGAATAATTATGAAATGTTTGTATATTGCAACTGAGTTATAGAAAGTCACATAAACAATATAAATCTGATGCCCAGTCTTTTACAGATATGAAGTTATTTTCACTGGGTTTTCAAATTGTCAAGTATAAATAGGATGAGGTCACCAATACTTAAGATGAGGCACTTGAACAATTACCCAAAAAGGATGTTAAGTGTACTAAAGTGTAAAACAAAACTTTTGATATTAATCTTACTCTTAATTTCAGACGTGATTAATCTGAGATGGTCTATATTAAGAAGTGTTATAAACTTTTATTTCTTGCCCTTCTGCTTCCCCTTGACCCAAGGCAACATAACCGTGAAATAGACAGCACCACAGACCAGTTAATGTGCTTCCATACAAAGAAACTAAACATTATTTAGTGACACTGGGGTTTCAGAAAGTGACTATTTTACCACAAAAACCTGTGCATAATTTTTTTCAGACACATGGATAAATACACTGGTGACTCAAAGGCAAATCAGTATCTTGACCAAAGTCCTAGACAAATAGGTCCTCAAATTTATTATCAACTGAATCAAAATGTTAAGTCTTATGTACCCTTTTTAAACACTGAATTTTTAAAATACTGAGAAATTTAAAAATTTAATTTTAAAAATAGAAAAATTAAAAAATTAAATTTATTAATACTTTCTAGATTACAGTTTAAGATTTAAAAAATAAGGAACAGATGCTCTGTCTTACCAGCCTTTTGTGAAACACCTTTTAAACATATATATGTGGCTAATTCATTTTCAACCTTAACATGTTCTCTGTATATTTACACTGTATCTTTTGGTAGTTAAAATATTAAACGCTTGATTAAAAGAGATCAATTCCTGTTGCTTCATGAATTCATAGTACTATATTTTTCCCTACTGTCAGATTTCAACATACCTCTACTAGTAAAGAAAATAACTCAAATTTTAAAAGTTTATCCAATAGGGTTTAAAATCTGTGGTCCCATTAACTAATAGTTTTAGGTGAGAAGAGTTAAATCTCATTAAACTTATTTAATTCTGGTAGTTTATAATTTGAGTAATTTCTATAGCCCAGACACCCAAATGCTGTTTAACAAACATATGAGTTAGTTACTCATTGGAACATGGTTAGCCGTTCCAAGTCCACTTACCAAAATCACTTCCTGGGGGCTTCCCTGGTGGCGCAGTGGTTGAGAGTCCGCCTGCCGATGCAGGGGACACGGGTTCGTGCACCGGTCCGGGAAGATCCCACATGCCGCGGAGCGGCTGGGCCCGTGAGCCATGGCCGCTGAGCCTGCGCATACGGAGCCTGTGCTCCGCAACGGGAGAGACCACAACAGTGAGAGGCCCGCATACCGCAAAAAAAAAAAAAAAAAAAAAAAAAATCACTTCCTGTGTGTGTGCACATTAGCGCACATACACTCCTTAATTCCCTAAAACAGTTCTGCTCCTCTAAAGAGAGAAACTGTCTTTTGATCAGTATGCTACCAGTCACTTATGTCTCTGCTAAAATCAGAAGATGGCCAATTTTCAAATAAATGGAAAGGGAAAATACTTATTTAGAACAACAAAAATTAAGCTTGGCAAAAGTAGGTACTTTTATTTACAATTGCATGTATTAAGATTACAAGAGAAACACTAGTGATACCATCTGAACAAAAGCAATGATTTATTGGTAATGGCAATGAATGAAATATTGAGTCTCTGGTGAGAATCAAGCAATTATCCAGGAGCTGTAGATCTGACTGCAATATGGTCTTCCAGTGTCTTTTGTACCTTAGTGGCTTTCTCCTTTTTTGCCAACTACCTAGGAAGAACAAAAATAACTTTATATGTACTCCTTATTGATTTAGAAATATGAGTTATTTTTAAAATAATATTACAAATTGTAATCATTTTTAAAAGCTGGTATTAATTTTTATCTTTGCAATTTTTTGGCATGCAGTATTATCTTCATTGTTGAAGCACACTGTGACCCTCCCTCACTTCCCAGCCTCTAGAAATTAAAAATAAAACACATGCAGGCTATTTTTGGTTTCCCACACTGTTTTAAGAAAAAGTAATGCAATTTTTCAAAACAAGGTTGACAGTTTAGAGAAGTTAATAAAAAGATGATGCTACATGAGTGAAACATATTTGGCATACTATTTTTAGGCAATGAGATATCAAATGCCTGCCGATCATAAAATAAGGTACAATTAAAAGAGTATGCTAAACTTATGTCTTCATGCCCAAAATGACAGGTTTCTAGACTTTTCTATCAATATGCAGACATGCAATGAAAACAGATTAAAAATGACTAATTTGGCCTAGTTTCTATTTTTAAAAAACCCTGATTGCTACAATGTACTACTGAAATGATAAAGAATAAACCTTGTTTCAGGCAATGATTAGAAAAATTCCCTAATGAAGGGTTTAAAAAATGTTCTAGTTGCTATAAATGTAGCAGAATAAAAATATAAAGAATAAATTTGGTTTCTACCAATAGTTCTAGAAAACAAATCCTCTGTGGGAAGGAAGGCTCTAAAACTACGTTCTAATCAAACAATTTACTTTAAATCTAAAGTTTATAATAATGTATTCTCATGGCAGAAATTCCTCTAAGGAAATCTAATTGCAAGCTATTGAACATATATTTGTATACAAAAAAATTTCTATGTATGTCTGTAAATATAATTTTCATATTTTAAGTTGATTCTGGTCCCAACGGTAGTATCTGAATCAAGTAAAACTCACACAGGTCTTCAGTACAAGTCTGGTCTAAAATAGAACATGGCTGGGTCAATGTCATTCATGGGAAAAGATTATAAAAACCCTTTCCACTGAATTCCTAATCACGTGATGCTAGAAATGCTGCTTTCCCCATCTTGAGGAAAATCACTTTCATTACTTTAAAATAACTCCTCTCTGATCCAAGGAAACCATGTGTTAAAAAGCCCAAGAAGCCAGAAAGATACAAAAGGTAGTCTCATAAAAGGGTACGTGGATGAGAGTTAAGAAATTTAGATTTTAAGAGCTGGGGGGAGCTTTCCTAAGAAAGAAGGGGAGGTGGCACTATCTGTACCACAAATGAATTTAAGCAGATAAACACTGAAAGCATTATTGATCATTATATCCCTTGGGAACACACAAAACACAGAGCTATTAGACTAAGCAAAAGAAAACAAAAACAACTAATATTAAAAATTTAAATTTTAACAGATGTGACACAGTAGAAGACATGAATCTGCATACTGCTTCACAGGTTGATAACTCTCAACTTGCCAATGTGTATTCTCTGTAAAAAAGAAGAAATTCAGCATTCCAATATGGAGTTTCTCACCCCAAAAGTAAAGCTCTTTTATTCATTTTTAAGTCTTTATATTACACCTCAGACAAACAAAAATTTTGGTACATCAAAATTAGATGTCAAAAATATTTATTGAGTAAAGAGTCCATTGATCTTCTATGTTAATATTTTAACCCAGCCTAGCATTCAGTCCATAGGTCTTTCAACTGGCCTTGATCTCACTTGCGTTGGCAAAGCGCAGGACATGCCCACAATTAATCAGCGAAAAGATTTTGGGGCTACAGTTCCAATGAGAAAATAAAACCCACGTCTCTCAAATTCAGCCTAATCAATATATTACACTAGTACTGATACAAAAGAACTTGATGAAACTGCTCGTATTTGATTTCCAAAATGATTCTATAGTTCCTAAAAAAATAAAATTTAAACTTCAGATCAGATTAAAACATTAACTAGTTAAATCTAAAAACATTTACAACAATGTAAGTTTTATTGCAAAATTATTTCTCAAAATGTAGTACAAAATTAAATGAGACAGGAGAAGGTAAATTAAAAAAAGTAACAAAAAAGTTGGGTGAGCAACCTGGTACGGTAATGAAATTAAAGCACCTAGTTGCAAGCCCAGAACAAAAACCAAAACAAATAAAAGGCCAACTGAGAAACATGACTAGAATGAGATCTGAAGAAGAGACAGTTGAGGAATTTAGGTAACAAGAAGGCTGATCCAGATGACAGAAGCTGTAGAAATCTTGCCCCAACAATGGTGAGAACATGAGAAGGGTGAGAGCAGACAGGTGCAGAGAAGCAAGGAGGGGAGTAGAGTGAGATAAGGTCAATCTTTATATTACTTCATTTTTAAAAATCTTCTGGTTTTAGTTCATTTGAGTTGGATTAAAAAAGCTGAAAAATAAACAGACAAAAATGTTACAAAAATAGCTGATACGGTGAATGGCCAGTTAAGAAAAGTCTATTTTTATTACAGTCATAGAAAATCTGCTCTGCCTTTCAAATGCACCTCATTCCCTAAGCAGCAGAAGCCCCTTCATTTTTGCTCAGTTTTGTATATATATTATTTTTGTGTTCAAATAAAGCAATCCATGTAAAGAACATATTTTAGCAAAGAAAACATCTACTTCCAATTAAAATGGCAAGCTTTTTTCATGCTGCAACACAAAGAATCCATTTACAACAGAAAGCCTAAGTATATATTATAATCTGGGCATAATGCTTCTTATGAGCCAAAAACAGACCAGTGGAAGGTATGTTCTAGTCCCCAAAATCTGAAAAGTATAACCTTCTAAAGCTGTAACAGCATGCAAGGTGGTCTCAGATTTCTAGCCACATCCAAGATTCACCAGCATTACCTTAGCTCTGTCATCTTAGTGACATAAGGAGAAGATCAATGACATTCTGAAAACTAAAATTATCTAGAAACAACTCATACAACATAAAAATGTAAACTGAAAACTCTACCTAATTCTATTTTATTATTCATTAAAATCATTTTACACAGCTCTCTTCACTACACAGAGGTATCAAAACTTTCCTCGCTGTGCTGATAAAATACATGCCCAATCTATATTGAAATTTTAAATTCCAATTACTATGTACAATTCCTTTAAAATTCAGACTGACTAAATAAAGGAAGGAAGTGCCATACTTGACCTATCCTCAAATGAAGGACCTGCACCTTCCCACTTCCATGCCCAAGGTTCCTGTTTTCCATTCTACCTAGAATGCCCACTGTTATCTTTTCCTCTATCCATTTCTACTCCCACAGCTTAGTTCTAGGCCCTTTTCCTCCACAAAACATTCTGATATTTTCCCAGCCATTCTTGGGAAGAAGGAAATATCACCAGGCTGGGAAAGGATGAGAATACTCTGTAGAGGAAGAGAGCCTTGAACTTAGCTTTGATTAACTTTGATTAGCATTCCACATGTTTGTGCATTACCCTTTAACAATACAAACTCGTTACTGGCAGAGCTTATGACTATACCTAGCATAGTACCACGGGGACAACAAGTACCATACCATGTAGCGTTTATTTCCTTTACTAGAAACACCAAGCTCACTGATAGTTTTTATTAAGTGACTCTACACAAGGCCAATTTCAGTTCAACATAAGCTAGCTTTTTAATTGCAGTTTTCCTACACTGAAGTTGTTGACTTAGCACAACATGAAGAAAACTGAAATATTAGCTTTTACTCTTGAGGAATAACCCTAGAGTTCAATGAATGACACAAGAACAAAACTCATTTGGAAACTACTGAAAGAAAATGTAATATTAATATATATAAGAAAGTCATTCAACCAATTAAAATTTATCAAACATTAAAAGCAATGGATTAAGAAGTCCAGAACACGAAGAAGGGAGTCCATTATAGCATTACATTATTTTCACAGCAGTTCTCAGTGTGGTCCAGGCTGGGCATCCCTGAGACCCTTTCATGGAGTCTTCAAGGTCAAAACTATTTTCATAATAATGCTAAATTGTTATTTGCCTCTTTAACTAACTCTCGTTGTCTCACAAATGTACAATGAAATTTTCCAGAGGCTACATGACTTACGATATAGCAAAACTGACTGAATGCAGAAGCAGATATGAGAATGAGAGGATTCTATTAAGCTAGACTACAAACACATTGGTCAAAGTGTAAAAACAATGCTCTTCTCACAAAATTAGTTTTTGTTTTGAAATATATATATTTTAAAATATTACTTGTGTTAACAGTGACTTTATTTGTAAATAAATATTTTTTAAATTTCTCAGTTTTAACTTCTAAAATGGTAACTATTAGATAAATATTGGTCCTCAATAATCTTTAGTACTGTGAAGGGGTCCTGAGACCAAAAAGTTTTGAGAACTACTGTTCTGCCATAATTTTCAATAAGGTAAATAGCATTTTAAAACAAACACAAATACTCTCAAACAAGAAAAGAAAAATACCTTTGCTATCCTGAAGACAGTCCAAAAAAGGTAGTTTGATAGTCAAAAAAGAGAGAAAATAGGCTAGAAGGGATGTGAGGTGGGATGTTAAAAACAAAGAGGTGGAGACATCCTTAGATGGACAATTATTAATGCACATTAGAAAAACTATAACTGAATGGCAGGCTGGTAAGAAGATGGACAAGATAGAGTAGGGGTTACCTAAAGGAAAAATGGAAATCAAGTAGCATAAGCTGAGGTGAGAAGCAGGAAACCAGAGCCGAATTAATGATATGAGAAAATAACAGGATTTAGAATAATAGATCTTAGGAAAGAACTGAGCTAAAAAGAAACTATGCAAGGCATGGTTAAAGCCAAATCCAATGGCATTTAATTCAAACAAGCAAAGTAGCAAAGCAGGCGGCCAAAACGACTCTGTTGCTCACAGTTTCCCAGTGCAGCGTATTTCATATCATAAAAACGTAGATGTTTAATCTCTGCTTCTTCTGACCTGTCATTATGTGCATGTCAAACACTTGACATGACAGATCTAATAACTGTTTCTAAACCTCCCAAAAGTTAACTATGCTGTGAGACAGAAAGATAGCAGTTGGAAAATGACATTAAAATATCTATTGTCAAGGTTATCAATTTTTCAAAAACAGCGTACAATTTTATAAGCTCATCCACCGTTATGAAATTTTATGAATTTTTCTGTTATTGGATTAAAATTATATCTGCAGTGCCATCAAAAAGAATATGTTTTCAGGGTGTTCCATGGCTCCAATTCCCCAAACAGGGCTCTAAGTTTTAAGCCAGGTGCCTCTCCCTCCAGGTATTGACAGTGCTAGGGAAACTCTTCCTCTCTTATAATCACCCCAAGTTCTAGACTGCCCGCCAGATGCAGCCATCAGAAACACAAGTAAAACCGACATCTCCGGTGCTGCTGCACATTTAGTCTGTGTACAGCAACCGGGTTCTGTACTGATAAGTACATCTATGATCTGTGGTTGTATATTTTAAGAGTCATCCTAAATGAACTGTTACCAATTAGAAGTAGTTCCAAGAATGAAAAAATGTTCTCTTTCCTAAAGGTCCCATGGAACGTATAAATTCTTTCACAAACTTTGGGACTATGTCCTCAAAAACAAAAAACAAAAAAATTCACTGAATACATACATATATGCCTGTTCACTGAATAGTTATTTGCTGAAATGTGTTCTTTCAGCACAAAGACATGGTTTGAAAGCATCTCAGTGTAGTAAAACTGAGTCCATTCTTTTTGATTAAAATTGTCATTTTAAATATGTTTTCACCAGAAACAATGATAATTAAAATCTTAATATAAGCAAGCAAAGTTCTTAAAAATTCATTAATAATGATTTAACTTACTACTACTATTTTTCATTATTCCTAACTACTTTCTATAACCAAACAGTAATTTTTACCCCTCTTATTTGGATGCCATTCATTAATAGACACTGTAACAGTAGGACTTATTTTTATTAGAGATTTCATTTAGTAAGAAATCTAAAAATGTGATTAGAAGAACCTACTGTTCTGTTTAACCTTATACAATTTCATGACATATGATTTTGATAGCTTTAAAATTATTTCCTTAAAATTGTTATTTTTATTTCTCCTAGCTATCATTTAAACAAACTTACTCGTTTGAAGTCATTCATATTTGTTGCCTGGACTGGAGTCCCAATAAAAGTAAAATATGAAATTCTTGTTGTTTCTTCTTCACCCTGATTGGACTGAACAAATATCTACACACACACACACACACACACACACACACACACCAAAAAAGGAAAGAATTTTTACATTAATGATTACACTCCTTCTTTTACAAACATGCTTTAAATTTAATCAATTTCCTTAGGTTATTAATAAAAATACCTTCCATTCTTTGTAAGGATTAATCCGAATTACATTTAGACTAGTACTCCTATAGCATTATTAATTCTATTGTTTGCCCAGCTATTCTTACCTTCCCCAGGGATGTCATGGCAAGACACTCACATATACAAGTTCTTGATGATTTAGTGTGATGGTGTGGAAGGGTCATAGTTAAATTATTTACAGAGAATGTTGAAAGGGTATGAAATTCATGATTACAATGGGCAGAGTGCTACTGAAACTACTAAAATTATAATTTTTCACTGAGGAAAATCTCTGCAGTTATATTCTTTCTGATAATCCTTCATTCATTCTATTTCCTACAATTTTAAAAGAAAAAAATAGTACTGGAAATAGGGTCCTAAAACTATATGGTGGCTTACATGTTTTTTTAAGCTTGGCTCTTTACCCTTTCTATTTAAAAACTCCCCTCAGCATGTTAGGAGACAGAAACTTTACTCATAGATCCTTTTTCAATATATTGGATTTTAAAAATTTGCTCTATTAAAAAAAATAATACTCTACATGCTGTCTACTTAAGATTATTGCCTCTCTTGAATTCAGCAACATACTTTTTTCATTCTCAGATGGCACTAAGCAATCAGTTTTTGTTGTTTTTACAGGAAACCACAGATTCATCTCAAACTGAGCTATTCAATTAAAAACTCTAAGTCTATAATAAGTGGACTATTAAACTAGCTATCTATTTATTTGCAATGCTTTTTTAATCTAAGCACAACAGTTTATATTTACTGCTTTTAAAATCCATCTACTTATTCTGATTAGACTTCCTGATCAAAGCTGTCATTTCAATTTCAATTTTATCACCAAAAAAAGTGACAGGCATGCTTTCTCTGTTGGGATTTAAGTCACTGACTAAAATTTTGATTTTGATAGGACACAGTGAAGACTGTGAACCTATCACAAGATAACTATGTTCAATGATTCTCAAAGATAGAGGAGATTATATTAGGATCTCTGGGTTTAAAGTGTTTTCCAATAAACAAATGCCTTCCTCCCATCACTAAATAAAGTAACAGGTTTTATTAATTGAATGTTACAAATATGAGTAAAGTCAAAAAATATTTCATAACCAGTGTTCCAGTATGATATAACCGTTTTCTTTAATTTCATCTGGGTAAAATATTTCAACTACTGAAAACTCAACTTTATATAATCTTTCATCTTACCACTAAGTATATTCTGTGAAATTCTACTGAAAACCTCCTAAAATGAACACATGCTATGGCATTCTTCTAATTTACAAAAACCAGAATCCACTAACAAAAAGAAATCACATTAGCTTGGCATGCCTTGTTCTCAAGTGACTCTGTGCTGGTTCCTACTCCTTTTTCTAGGTATTCTACTATTCTTTTATAACCCTCCTACCCCCTCCGCTGAAGGAACGGACTAGGGTGGACAGGTGGTTTAGGAGCATGTGTTGGGTTTTAATACCAAAATTCACAAAAGCAATTAATAACTGCTAAAAAGCTGCTGCTTTCTTAATGTAAATTAAGATAATATAAAACTATCTTTTAAAAGCCATTTTTACTGAGATCGCAGCCACTACACTATTAAAAACTCTATATTCTAGAAAAGTAAATTGGACTTTACAAACGTATCATCACTCATCATCAGGTATGAAGGAAGCACAAATATCTTCTATTTAAGTACAAATGTTCTACAATAAACTTTTAACAAAAGTTGCCAAAGATGTATACGCAATATATATATATGTAAACTGACAAATCCACAAAGTTTTAAAAAATCAATCCGTCTTTCCTCTTTAGGGCACACAGAAGAAAATTCAATTAGCTCATTAGACATGTTTATGCATTTCAAACCAAGTGGACAATTATTACTTCTAAGGATCACTTGGAATCAGCTAGGATACTAAAGATGGCATGAACTGTCACCCACAACCCGTTAAATATATCTGAATGAAATATTACTTACAGTTACACTGTTAACATTCTGAAACTTTACATAACGAAGTGGGACAATACCATCTTCTTTAATATCATCCTCTGTTAGTTCCAGAGCTTGAGTTGGCTCACTTCTTTCTGCCTCTTCAAAATCCATAGACCGGGGTAGATTGATAAAAATTTTTACATACTTAGGACCCTGACCTATAAAATGGTAGAATAAAATTAAATGCTAACGCCAAACATATTACTGGTATATTCTTGGCCTGCTAAAACTATACTTAAGTACTAGGAACACTAGATGAAAACACATACATATATATGTATATGCATAACATATACACAGAGTTCTTGCCCTCAACTATAAAAGACATACTATGATACATGTACAACTCTCAGTGAGGAGGTATAGGGAAGGTGGCAGTGGAGTCTGACAGCACATGCAGGCTGACAGAAAGTTTCATAAAAGAAATAACATTGACGCGGGTCTTGCAGTTGCCATCAGTTGGTACATTCTATTTAGGAGGAAAGCACTATCAGTGACAACATTTAGCCAGAAGGAAATTAATTACACAAACTACCAAAATTCATCTTAGGGATCAGGATGTGCTCAGTGGTAAAATCATATTGATAGAATGTCTTAGTCCTTTTAACTTCAGACCAGCGTTTTGTGACTGATTAAGGAATCTTAAGATAGTCACACTGCTTAAATACTCATTTCTATAGCATTTGCTTTTATAAATACTTTGTATTCTCAGAATAAAGAAACAATTTTATTAGTGAAAAGTCATTAATACACGAAACTTTAGCATATAGCAAATGATACGGGAATGCTACCTGAGAAGCGTACCGCTTCTCCCAGCCAACTAAAAAACCAGAACCCTAGTCCCCACTCCCCACCCCACGCCCCCACCCCTGCCCGCCCCAACCAGCAAAAAACACTTCAGTAAGAAACAGAAAAAAAGGCGGTGGGAGGGTGAATAGCACAATTCTTTATTTAATAAAAAGAAAAATGCCAAGTCTGTACAATCATGTTTACAGCATCATAATATGTATAAAGCAGATGCAACTATAATTAGAGCACAAAGAGGAAGATCCGGAGCCTGTCTTATCACGTACAACAGGAGGAATGTGAAATCATTCTCCCAGTTCTGATCCTGAAAAACAGCTACCTCAAACCTAGAATCTTTAGTTGGAAGAAAGGGCGACCTCGTTTTCAGATTAAGAGGGAACTTAAATTCTAAAATAAAAAACTTTGGGAAAAGGGTAAACGTTTCTTTTTTAATTACTTTTGGCCCAATAATCTCACATTATTTGCCCACTGCTTTGTTCTAAGAACAATTTCACTCCTTCCCAAAACAAGAAATCTTTACCTCTATTTAATAAAAAGTTTTAACCTAAGTGTCCATCAACAGAATGGATAAAGAAGATGTAGTAAATATACATACAATGGAATCCTACTCAACCATAAAAAAGAATGAAATTTTGCCATTTGCAACAACACGGATGGACCTGGAGGGTATTATGGTAAGTGAAATAGGTCAGACAGAGAAAGACAAACGCTGTATGATATCACTTACTTATATGTGGAATCTGAAAAATACAACAAACTTGGGAATATAACAAAAAAGAAGCAGACTCACAGATAAAGAAAACAAACTAGTGCTTACCAGTGTGGAAGAGGGGAGGGGGGAGGAGCAAGATAGGGGTAAGAGATTAAGAGGTACAAACTTCTATGTATAAAATGAATAAGCTACAAGGATATACTGTACAACACAGGGAATAAAGCCAATATTTTAGAATTACTATAAATGGAATAACCCTTAAAAATTGTGAATCACTATGTTGTACACTTAAAACTTACATAGGAGTATACATCAACTATACCTCAATTAAAAAAAAAAGAAAGGTTTTAAATATGTGCTAGCAGGTCTACAGAGCAGAAAGTTAGTTTAAAGAAAAGCTGCCCATTACTCACCATTATCCGGCCCTTGAAATTTCATTGAATAAAGCTTAACAGGCTGATTGAATGCCACGGTAATAAGTAGCTGTGAAGAAAATAATAGTTTCATTTTTAAAGGACTGTTGAACACCTTAAATAACACAATAGCTAAGGAGATTTAAATAATTAAGCAGCAGACAAAATTTAATTCATCTAACAAAACCAATGTAATACAGAATATCAGTAAGTTGAAAGTAACTTGATTAGGTTGACATTTGAGAAATACATTAATGTATTATTCGTATAAAGAAATAACAACAAAATTTAATAGAATTAACTAAAATTATATGTTAGAACCTAAAGTCTTGTAACCTAAAACTGATAAGCAATCTGCTTTCCAAAAAAACAAACAAAATCCCAAAATTAAAATTTAAACTATATATTTTAGCATATTAAGCTTATTATTTTCCAAAACAATTTATTTGTGGAAGCATCCACCCATGTCACTTGACAATTTGGAGACAATGCACACAGGCTACGTGGAGAGACTAGACCTCAAAAGAACTCTATTTGATCCAAAACTCAAGAGAACAGGACTCACAGCTCTAACAGTAACCTCCAAACCTCCATCTTAAATTTATCTGACTAACTGAATCTGAAAAGCCAGGTAAGGGAACTGGAACACAAAACAATGCCGAAATGCCTATCTCTGATCCATTCACTCAGTCTTCTTTCCAGCTAAAATTCTGTCTGATGTAGGTACCTATGCTTCTACCCTGGGAGGAAGATTTCAGGGAAGCTGTAGCCAGTCCTTCTGATACGCATCACCACAGTATTTCAGGGCACCATTGACAAGGAGCATAATGTGAATGATATTCTCAAAGCTATACAGTAAGGTAGCTCTGGCTGGAGCAAAGAAAGATGGGATTTGGATTTATGATTTCAAATCACTGTGGTCTATTTGCTTAAGAAAATACTTAAATTACTCCCTTTGGTTATGTAAGTACCTTTTATACTTGACCTGTAATTGTGTGCCAGAAAATAAGCATGACATGCTTAGAGACTTGAACCACAGGTGAAGAGGATTATGAGAGTAGAAAGCTAGAAGCAGGTAAAGTCAGCAAGAATACGACACCTTCTTCCTGAAGTCACTGAAGAACCATTTAACTCTTTTAAGAAAGAGGAGCATGATCAGATTTATATTTTAGAGAAATAACTTTTGTGAACATGTAAAAGATGAACAGGAAATGGGGACAAAGCAGAGACAATGGAATAGAAATTAAATTAAGAAAAATAACAGTCAAAATGAAGACAGAGATGGCTTGAGAAAGGCAGTACTATACTACACTACCTCCTCTGCGACAATAATGCTGGGAATTATAGGGAAATACAACAGGTTTACATCTGGGAGTGAGGACTAGACATACAGGGAGCGCTCATCTAATTAGTTTCTATTTCTCAGGGACAAAGTCGTGTAG